CTTCCAACCCAAACCATTCTATGATTTCTGACCATGTAGGCTTATTTTGTGCTTTTTGTTGAAGATGTGGATAAACCAGATAGGGAACCACTTTTCACAATTCCTGTGCCTCAAGAACCAGAGTCACCTGATAATTTCTTCCGTTGCTTATGACCTTTATATGCGTGCTGAGTAATGAGCTTCTGGGAACTGCTGCAACAAGATATTAGGATTGCAGGCAGCATCAAGAGGTGTGAGGAAAAAAATAATTGGTCACCTGACCTATAAATGTATACTAAAAGGACTAGGCAGGGATATACTTTCTAATATTTGTAATACAACATCTAAGAGGTAGGGGATGAGGAGTGCACTGCAGAGAGTGGCCGGGCTTGTTTGTTCTTGAGTAGTGTCTCTTTTGTCCTGTTTTTGTTGGAGAGAAAATATGGTGCTGGATTTGATCTGACTGATTAGTGTAGTTATGCTGTTACAGGGGGTCCAGATTCCTGGATGAACAAAAGTGATTATGCCAGTAGTGACAACTCAGCTTTTATCTGTGGTGCAAATGGAACAGATTGCCCATGTTACTCTGTGTGTGTTATCCTGAACATGGAAATTCCTCTTCCCTAGTATATTATGCTGTAACAGTACTAATCTATTTTCTGACTCAAAGCCTATATGTTCTGATCTTTTTCAGACAGATGAATGGCGTCTAAGCTGCATCAACAAGGAATTCTCTGTCTGTCCCTCCTACCCTCCAGTTGTCATTGTCCCCAAATCCATTGATGATGAAGCGCTTCGGAAAGTTGCCATGTTTCGCCATGGCAGTCGCTTCCCAGTCCTCAGCTATTATCATAAGAAGAACGGGATGGTAAGCTGCATTGAGTAATGGTTGTACCTGAAGGAAGTGTGTGAATCTGTTCACTTAATGAAATAACAACTTGTGCTCTAGACTTAATACAGTTCATGAGGTGTTCACTCATTTTATTTTCCAATTTACTAAGTGTATGCGATGAAACTGTTTCTGGGTGATGGAATGAGTAATCTCAGTCCTAGAAATAGCTATTAATCTGCTTGGGAGTGTATGTTGCATGAGCTTGTTCACAGCAGTAACAGCAAGATGAGACTTGTAAAGCCACCGCTGGCACCCTTACTTGCTTTGTCTGCCAGGAGGCTTCATGCTGAAAAGATGGCAGAAACCACGTTGTCCTGTCTCTGGGTGGTGGGCCCTCTCCTTCACAATAGTCATGATGACAACAAGTGTGCCCGGAGCCAGCACCACTTCTGCTTTGTAACTGTCGAACGAGCGATCAGAACAATCTGTTCTCCGAGCCTCTCAGTATAACATGTTTCGGGAGCAGCAAATTCTTGCTGTTGCACAGACTTTACCACCTTCCGACAAGCCAAAATCTGAGTGACTGATATGCTATAATTAAGAAATGCACTTTATGAAATTGTTAAATAGTTCTTTGTATTTTTTTGCTGATGTAACCAGTTCTGAGGATGTTGGGATGTCCGAGATCCAACTTGATCCAGGCTTCTGAGTCAAATGCTCTAATGTGTTCTCACCTCCTGTTGCCAAGATTCATAAGCCCTGAATTAGAGGACATCTAGTCTGACTTCGTAGTACCTTTGGGGTTTTTTTTGCTTTGCTTTAAAATCAGCTATCTGCCAACTCCAGAACAGTTGTGCTTTCTGCTTTTTCTCAGCTCAACTGAAAACCGTTGAAGGAAGATTTGTTCAATTATCTCTCTGGATTGTGCATGTTTCAACTGTGAGGAATATAATAGCATTTGGCTTGGAGTGCTTGAACTTGTGACAGTAACACTGTCTGTCATGTTGCTCTCCTGACTCAGTTCTCGAGCATAGCTGGGGTTGCTGACTGGCTCCCCTCACATTTTAGTTACCATTTGGGCTGCTGGGATGCTTTCTAAATAGAAAAGCATTTACTAAAGAGAAATCTCAGCTCCTAAATCTGTGGACTTAAGGTTTATTAGTCTAGCCACTGGGTAAAACTGTACCTAAGAGGCATCTCTAACACATGAATGACTTGAGTGTTTTAAAAGCAGAGTTGGGAAGAGACCTTAAAGATGACAATCCTGAAAATGTTGGTTTCTAAAGGAGCCATCAGGAGGAAGCCAGTTCAATGGCTCACAAAGATGGTACTACAGGAATAATTAAAGGGATAAAGCCTCTAAGAAGATGTCCAATTTAGAAAGTGGCCTGCCAAATGATTGCTCAATGTGAGGATTTCCAGCTTGTTTTTTTTAAATAAATTCAGTCCCTGCAGGGGATTGCACTTAAAAGAACTGAAGGATTCAAGGCAAGGGAGAACAGCAGCTGTAGGAAGAACCAGAGAGACGTTTCTGTGCATCAGGCAGTGCAGGTCCAGGGCGTTTGCTTGTCTGTGTCCAGGTCTGGTGGATCAAACTTGAAGCAGGTGGAAGTAGGAAGCACAGTGGGGTGAGAGCTGCAGTTGCTGGTGTAACTCCATGGAGAAGAGCTGGAGGTCCAGGAGGGCCCCACTTGAATTTTACCCCTGAACTGATAGAGGAAGCTTTTTAAGGCTGAGCTATCTTACTCCCATAAGCATTGTTACAATGACCTGAGTTGTAAAGGAAAACAGGAGCATCCTGTGTGAATTTCAGCAGCACAGTTCTCTAGAGAGCCTTTCTCCGTGCCTGGCGTTGAGACCCAGCAATCTAATACGTCAGTTTGCAGTCAACATTTACAGACCCCTGAGAAATCCTCTAGTGAAGGAGTGTCCTTTGCATAGTGAGTTTAAATTGGCTTGGAGCTCAAGTGATCAGTGGGTTCAGTCTTAAGTCTCTCTGTTTCCAGTGCCTAATTCATGGTTATTTGTCTTCCCAGGTCATGATGCGAAGTAGCCAGCCTCTTACAGGTACGAATGGGAGACGGTGTAAAGAAGACGAGAGGCTTATTAACGCAACGCTACGGCCTGGCAAGCGTGGCTACATCATTGATACAAGGTCCTTGAATGTTGCCCAGCAGGCCAGGGCCAAAGGAGGGGGCTTTGAACAAGAAGTGCACTATCCCCAGTGGAGGAGGATTCACAAATGTATTGAGAGGTGGGTGAAATCACACAGGCTGTCCTCCATGCTTGGCTTTGTAGGGTTGCGTTGGCAGAGCCATGCTAGCTCCATCAAGTATTTTTTTTGTGTAAGAAGTGGCCACGTATCCTGGTTCTCATCAACAAGGTCACGTTCCTTTTTTGGCAAAATCAGGATATGTGGATGATAAAGGTATTTGGCTTTGGAAAGCTGTGTTTGGTTCCTTGTTCTGAACAACCTGCTGCAGGTTTCAGACATCAGGCAATCTCCCTGTGCCATCTCTTTCTCTGACCATCTATAGCTGCACTCCAGCCTTCCTGCGTTCCCCTTTGCAGTAATGCACAGGAATGAGCAAGTACCTTGCCAGATAATTTCTGCAGGTGAGGATTTGTTCCTTGGCAGTCACACTCCTCTTATCCAGTACTTTTCTCTGCACATCTAATATTGTTTGGTCATTTGGAGACAAGTTACTAAGTTAAATAGACTTTTAGTCTGACCTTGTTCAACTGCTCTTAGGCCTTAGTTTGGGAGAATTCTTCTACACAGACATGCAGTAATGTTACTGGAGCTATTGGAAAGCAGTTGTTCCCCTCATCACTGTCCAGGCCAGCTCTTGAGGAACTAATATAAGGAATTTTCTGGCCATTGCTTTGAAGTATTTGGTTTTGCTTCTAAAAATTTTATGTGGACTTAAATTTGATGTTGATTATTTTACAGGTGGACATAAGCATCAGATAGAAGGGAATGAATAAACCATAATATGTGAAGACTGAGTATCTCATGCTATTATTATTATTTGGCTTTGTCAGCTTTTCTGAGATGTAGTCTGCTAGCTGCATCCTCTATTAGACCTGAGCACATGCTGGAATCAGCGTTAAGTGGCATTTGAACCATGAGTGGCTTGGTGCCCCTGGAAGTCCTAGTGTGGAACAAGACCAGAGAAGCATCTGGTTTTGTCAGCTGCATGCTGAATACCAGCTTTTTGGGGCTTGAGGACATAATGTAACAAATGCAGAAGTGATCCAAAATGTGTGTGTGTCCCGTTTTTCTTAAATTCTTAAGAAATCAGCCAAACTAATCTTAGTGCGGTTCTACATTGAAAAGTTGAGTCTAGTTTAAAATTGTCTGTGTTACAGTGGAGTTGTGTCCTTGTGATGGATGGCTTTCAGTTTTCTGTTGCAGCTCTACAGGTTAAAACTCCCCAAAATCTTCTGCTGTAGTAGAGAGAATGAAGGTGCAGCCTTTGACGCTTGGCTGACATTTGCTAATGTCCATGCCAGGTTGCAGTCACACTTGTGTTTGGTAATGAGAGTGAAATTACTGAAACACGTTTTACGTGGAAAGTGTAAGATATGGCTGAACACACACAGAGTTCAGGTGAGATAAGGAAAAGACCCTACTGTTGCAATGCCTTATGAAGCAATTTGTTTTGAAAGGTAAGAGACTACTTATGTCCAAAAAGTGGTATTCTGCTGGTGGTTAGCCATGGCTTGGCATTACCAGTGAAAGTAGGTTTGCTGAATGAGGAGACATGACTTCTATAGGGTCATACTTTTTGAAATAACTGCATATAAATTGTAGTGCTTTATTCTGAGATCAGTGTATTTCTGTAAGCATATTGTCCTGGTTGCTATGTTACTATTTATGTTTTCAGTAATATTTTCTTTTTCCCCAAAGGTTTAATATTCTACAGGAGAGCCTCATCAAACTTGTGGAAGCTTGTAATGACCAGTCACACAACATGGACCGCTGGCTCAGTAAACTGGAAGCTTCCAACTGGCTGACTCACATCAAGGAGATCCTAACTGCAGCTTGTCTAGCTGCTCAGTGTATTGATAGGTAATGCTTTTTCAGAAAGCCTTGAGTTTCTCATTCACTCGTTACTGATTGCTTGTTAAATATCTCTGTTTCCACTTGATGTATTAGTAACTGGCCACTGTGAACTGGCTCGCTTGTACCCATGCAAGGTACTGTTTCATCATGGTTGAGGAATGTTCCTCCAGTAAATCATGCTTGCATTTTTAGAAGTACAAGCCTGAGGGAGGACATCTTGACTAAGAGGAGGTGTTAGATCGTTTAGTTAAGGTATATTCCTATGTCTGATGCAACCAATCTAATTTAGTTAGTTTTATTGAAGGTTTAGGTTAGAATGTCCCCATCTGAAATGCTGTTTGGTAGCCTAGTAAAGTGAGAACACAGAGTTTTGGGTTTGTGGGTTTTGTTTGTTTGGTTTTTTTTAAAGTCCTTTTTATTCAGCTGAAAATTTGCAACACCCCACCTTGCTTCTAGAGATTAAAACAATGGCATTTCCTTGTTTTACGGAGGAACTGGTCCAGTGCTTTTTCCTCTTGAATTTTTTATCCGCATAGGCCTATCTAAGCAATCCTTTTCATCCCTGTAAGTGCTTGTGACCTCTTTTAACCTGACTTTTTTTTAATAAATACTGCTGACTTGGCTAACTTGTCTTCAGACCTCAGTCTGGAGAGCAAAAGCTAGCTGTCAGGTGCCAGTGTTTGTAAGACCAAATGCAGGGTTCTAAATGTGATTTCTTTGCAGCTCTGAGGGATAGCCCTTCTCAAAACTCAGGGAAAACCTAGCTTTTCATACCAGCTAGGGAACGTGTTGCACAGATACACAAGTAGGCTGAAATGCAGTCTTATTGGTAAAATAATGTTACTGCATTAAAATGTGAGCTGCTGTGCTTTTAAAAGCACTGACCGTGCCTGTTTAGTTACTGACTGTGCCAGAAAAGGTTTGCTCTTGATCAATAGTTTTATCTGTAATTCTTTCCCGCATGTGTATAATGACAAAGATTGGTGATGAAACTCTCCTGCCTTGTTGGGACAGTGGACAATTTCATCACTCTTAACCTCAGCTTTGCTTTTTCTGTTTACCTGGAGCTATGGCAGGCCAGCTCAGCATTGGTGCCTGGCCTGCCTCATTCAGAGCCTGGAGATCACAGCTGAGCTGACAAGGATGGTTCAGTTATATTGGCCATGGGGAGGGAATGGCTGGGACAGATTTTGCGGCATCTTTAAAGTCTGGAGCCTGAAAGATGAAAGGTGAAAATAGTGTTATCCTGGTGTGCCTCTCTTTGAGGAGTGCATATGCTCACATTTAGCCTTTGCAGTTGTGCTTGGCTGTTAAGCAACCTCTTTGTCTGCCGCTGCCTCAGGGAGCGGGGGGGGCAGAGAAAGTATTTGAAAATTATCTATACCGTAAAGGTACTGGGTTTGTTTTAGACACAGGACTATAGGCAAAGATGTTGCAATGCTTAAGGTATAGATTTTTACGCTTTTCACTTCCAAAAGCAAGTAATATCTGCAGGGTTACTTGCTTGGTAGATTTATCTTTCTTACCCATGCTTTGCTGCTTACCTTAAATCTTTGCACAGAAACAAATACAACCTGCCTTTAATTTCCTTTCTGGGCGTAAGGATGTTGGCAGAAGTGGGACACAGGGTCAAGGTTTGGGAACAGTAAAGGGAATGAATGCTATTTAATACTGTCCAGTCCCTCCTTCAGGAGCATATGGATGAGATTCTGATATTGTATCCAAATACAGCCTATGTTGGAGAAGAGGGGAGGGAATGAGCTGTCCTGGATAATCCCCACTGGATTTTGGGGAGTGACGTGGGCCCCTAGCAGCGTGCAAAACCTTCCTGCCCCAAACTCCCTGAGCTCCCTCTGCTCCTCACATTGTTCTGCTGATTCACTTGTGCTGGCTGGTGGGTGAGGAGCCTTTGGGCTTGGCTCTTTGACAACCTTCCTTGCTCAGCACACTAACTCTGCTGCCTTCCTGGAGGCTAAGCTCTGCCTTTTCTTTCTTTCTTTCTCCTGAACTGGTTTATTGGCTTACTTTTCTTGCAGTAAACCCCAATTGAGGCCCAAATGCAATTAAGCCCAGGTTTGATCAAGAACCTCATAGTATTGTTTTGCAGAGCATCTGCGGGGATGATGTCTTCATTGCAGTGCTTATGGGAAGATTTCAGAGTACTTGGCAAAACAATAAATGACACAAGCAAATTTTGAGATGCATTTCCATGCTATAACTCAAAGGGGTACCAATTCAAAATACTGAGAACCACAAAAGAGATCTTGCTGTGCATCTTCCGTCAGTGTGGCAAAGGGTCTGGATTTCCAGAATGCTTAGCAAGAAACTAAGCTTTAAGTGATGCAGAGCTCTGGTTAGTGTTGGTGAGGGTCCAGGTGGAGAAGGTGGTATGCTTCTGTGTGGGGTGGGGAGGGAAGAAGGGGTAAAGAGCCAGCAAAACCTCAGTATTGTCAAGGTAGTGACACTGTTGTCCATGGGATGTAATGGCATCCATTGGGATATGTTCTGCTGACTCATTCTCTTATTCCTTTCCACCTTTTTCTTTCACAGGGAAGGTGCATCAGTGTTAGTTCATGGGACTGAAGGAACTGATTCAACACTCCAGGTAACTTCTCTGGCACAGATTATCTTGGATCCAAGGTGCAGGACCATACGTGGCTTTGAATCTCTTGTTGTGAGGGAGTGGCTGCAGGTAAGAAATGCCCATGGACAAAACATCAATCTATTCCGGTGACAGTTGTATTGAGAAAGAGCCCAAGAGGCAGCAAACAGGTTGGGCCTTGTTGCAGCCCTGCTTAGTGTGAATGGCCTTTGTCCTAGGAGCAACATCATTGAGTCATTTGTCCTTCTGGCACTCCATGGGGCCTCTGCCTCTCATGGTAGTCTTTTGGTTTTGGGGAACTGCCTGTTTTGTGTGCTCAGGGTGAACATCCCTTTAGAGAACGCTGTTCAGACTAAACCACAAAAGCTTAGTTTTGCTCTTTGTACTTTTGCAGCTAATATGCTCAGCCGGTCCTTTGGTGCACCTACACCAGTTTGTTCTTGGTAAAATTATCTGATCAAATACAGGGCTATTTACGTAGCCTGAAAAAGGCAGCAAAGTTGGTCATGGTTGCTAGCAGTTTGTTACTGGATGCTTGATGAAGTTACGGTTGTAGAAAAGAGTAGTGATAGCATAGTTGCATGGACAGAACTAGCTCTAAAGTCTTTTTGCTACATGTACTGACATGCCATTACTTCGTGTGTGATGCTTTCTCTGATTCTTATGTATAGGCTGGTCACCCTTTTCAGCAGCGCTGTGCCCAATCAGCCTATTCAAATAGCAAGCAGAAATGGGAGGCCCCAGTGTTTCTCCTCTTTTTGGACTGTGTGTGGCAAATCCTTCGTCAGTTCCCTTGCTCTTTTGAATTCAACGAACAGTTCCTCATTATGCTCTTTGAACATGCTTACGCTTCACAGTTTGGGACTTTCCTGGGAAACAACGAAAATGAAAGGTTGGTGAGGATGCTTGCTTTCAACCCTTTAAATATTGGGCTGTATCTGACAAAAAAAAAAAAGAGGTCTCAGTTTGAAAAAGGGTGAGGGTGCTTGTGTGGTCTCCTTTAGCACAGGTGAACTTCTCTTGTAGTTCTGTAGTGTGATGCAATGTCAGGGAGTTTGTTCCCCTTACATGCAGGACAGTGTGACTGAAGAAATTTGCAGCATTGTCAGGGAGTTAGATGAATCTTCTCCAAGTCCAAGCTAATACCTTAGACTGTCTTTTCTGTTCCCTGCGCAGCCTTGAAAAATCTCCACCCATCACCAGTTTATGTAGTCTGTTACACAGAAACTCTTTCCATAAAAGAATAAACAGCTGGAGTTCAACTATGACGTGAGTCATAGCTGTGGAAAGCAAACTTGTCCGTGCAGGCCTGGAGGAGAAGGTCAAGGCAGTCAGAGATCCAAGGCTGGAAAGTCTGGTTCTTACCTTAACTGTCAGGGAGGAATGTGACTCTGTAGCATGGTGGTCCTGACACCCTCAGGAAAGGAAGGTTTTGGTTTTTTGCATCATCCATTAACTGTTGAAAGTGGAAACCATGGAAAATGTTTTGTCAGAAGGATCTGCCTCACAGTTACACCTTGGCAAAAGCTTTACTTGTTTGGCTGTGAGCGTCACGATTAGGTTTGAGGTCTTTTTGGCCATGCAGTAGTATAACTTCAATAGAAGGACCAAAAATCCCTCCAGCCCTATCCTGTGACTTGAAGTGTGAACTGGCAATCTGCACTGGCTGAGGTGTTGAGCAAATGCCATGTGCTCTCAGATGAAGGCTTGTGCAACTTTGAAAGGAAGCAGCCAGGACTGCATTCTGCTGGAGTCTGCCTTGTCAGGTAATCATAAGCCTGCATTGAGCTTGCTTACAAGCTTGTGGCATTTAAGGTACTTGAGCAGACCAGCACCTCGTTTCTGAATCCTTGCTTGGGTTAGATGCTGTGCTGTACTCATGGGGCAGCTCTAGGCATGCCCTGAGTAGGACTGCTGGGAGTAATAAACAGGGTGAAGCCCTGAAGGACTGGAGCCTCCCACGACAGATGACAGCTGCCAGAGAGGTTTGGATTCCTGTTTTGAACTTGGCAGTTCTATTCTCAAGACTTCTGACTCCAGTAAGACCGTGTCTGATGGTCTCCTGCTTAACTGAAGACCACTGAATGAATAGAAGGGAAACATAGAACTGATATTACAGATAAGGAAGGCAATTTAAAGCTTCCTATAAACCTCTCTGCCCTTAAAGTAACCTTTGCTTAGAAGAGACTCTTCTGTCTTCTGCAGGGCTGCTGAACTGGTCATCTACAAAACCAAGTTAGACTTGAAACCAGTAAGACAAAATTTGAGAGAGTATTGAATGTTACACATAATAACCTGCCTGTCACATCTGAACAATCAGCCTGTGAGCACAGAAAATGTTTGAAGTCTGATGTTAAGCTTGTGCTGTCCGAAGCATTCACAGGGATGGTGAATCTCCTGCCTGGGTGGCAGTTCAATTTGCTAGTGCAAGCAGAATGAGGTTTGCCAGAATCTAAGGAATAAAGACCCCTTTGTAACTCCTGGAGGTGGGTTTGACCCGGGAAAAGAGCATTGCTTTCTGTCTGCTCTGATGCTTCCTGCCACCAAAGGGACCTAATCGGACGTGTCCGTTGCCCAATTCCAGCAGTAACACTGCTTTAATGCTTTCTGAGGCTTGCACTAGGATCCTTCATTGCACACCTCCCAGCTCTATCTTAACACAGGAGTTCAATCCCTTTCAAAACCTGGCAGTTAAATGACTTCGGGGAGGTGACAGATTCTTCATCTGGACAGAAAGCAGCTAACTTCCACCCAACTTGTAAATGTTATTTCTCCATCTTTTCTTCAAAACGAATTGTAATCAGCCAGGTTGAATAAAATGCTTTAAGTTTACATCCTGTGCCATGTTGGTGAGAGGTATTGAAGGGATTAGCCTGAATTGGCTGGGCTAGCAGCACATGGGAAAGCTTCTGGCCTTCTAGTCTGTGGGGTTCTGACAAAAGGAACCGTTAGAGTATAAAAGTGAAAGCTAACTTGTTCCTATGGGTTTGTTAGGGCTAAACTGAAGCTGCTGCAAAAGACTATGTCCCTGTGGTCCTGGGTGAACAGGTCTGAAGAGCTGAGCAAATTCCAGAATCCTCTTTTTGAGGCCAACAGCCTTGTCATCTGGCCTTCTGTTGCCCCACAGAGCCTGCAGCTCTGGGAAGGTAAGGCAGGCTTGCTTTTTCTCCTACAGGCAATATATATTTTGTGGTTAGTGTAAAGTTTCTTAAGTGTTTGCTGCTGTTATCTCTGCGCCATGCTTAGTCTGTCTCAGCTGATGGTGATCTCACTCCCTTTGAAAAGTGTTCCAAAATATTTTTGCCATGTGCCGTCCCCAGAGGCATAATGCTTTCTCCTTCTAAGGTTTGGTGGCATGCTACTCTTTGCCAGGGAGCCTTACTAGTACCATTTAACTTCTTGGCACAGTATTTCTGCAGTGCTATAGCCTAATATATAGATATTCTGCAGGCCCCAGGCTTTTGTTCTGTATCAACCAAGACTTCCCTTTCTCCATTCCTGACTCTGTTGGCCAGGATGATCTGTGTGCAGTAGGTTCCCTGCTGCAGAAACTTTCTCCATCCTATGTATGCTGAAGAGTTAATTACAGTGTGAAGCAAGCAGGCTGTCATGGCAGGGTGGAGACTGAATATAGGTTGATCTGATCAGTATATGAGAAAAAAAGGAATGAAAACCCCTCATTTTTTCTTTATTAGCCTTGTTTAATAGAATGGTTGAACTTGGAGAGGAGGGTCAGTATTTCTAAATGCTATTTAGGGGGGAGGGTAAGGAAAAAAATGTGTAAACTGAACACATATTACTTGAGAGCTGATGGAATATGAATACTGTTTCCTCCTTGTAACAAGAAACCCTTCTGACTTGTGCTGTCTCTGGGCTTTCAGGTGTCTTTCTTCGGTGGAACAGGCCTTCCAAGTTCCTAGATGAAGCCCATGAAGAAATGATCAACATTATAAAATACAACAAGGAACTTCAGGCAAAGGTTAATGCATTGAGGAGGCAGCTAGCAGAGATGGAAACAGATGATAGAATGCAGGAGAACCTGTGAGCTGGCAGGGTTTTGCTTCAGGTCCTTCCTTTGCAGTCCCCTTTACATTAAAGACTAAACATGGAAATTGCATGTATTGCAGAGCCCTCTGGGTACAGCTGACCCTCAGTCCTCCCACTGCCGAAACCTTCACTTCACACTATGTACCTCCCTGCTTTTTGGGAGGGATTTTTTTGTTTGTTTGTTTACAGAAGACATACACATCTGGGCATCGTGTCCTCTCTTGGCAGCTTTTCTGTCTCGAAATTGTGTACAGTGTCAGCAGAAGCTGGAACTCTTACCTCCACCCAACTGTATGGATGACTAGGATGGGCCAAGAGACAGGATATTTCAAATTTTATTTTGGACTTTTTCTGGTTTTGTTGAACTTTCTAAACACTCGGCAGGATTAAAATACAAAGTTATGTATAGATAGGTAAAGGCATTTTGTCTGAAAGCACCTTTTCTCTCCAAGCATAAGGCAGCTCAGTTCTTTAGTTTCCTAGAAAAACTTAGAAAATGGTATAATCTGAACAGGTTCTACCTGTCTATAAGATACTCTCAGTAGCCTTCACATCTAACAGTTGGGTTTTTTGTGTTAAACATTGGCTTGGGAGCAGTAAGTGGAATACCAAACCAGAGCATGAAATTTCAGTGCAATACAGAACTGTAGTAGGGATTCTGCTGCTAATGTTTAAGCCATGACCTTCAGGTGGGATTGTCCCTCGTGGACAAGTATCTCCTAAGGAATAACAAACTTTTTTATTCTACCTGGAAAACAAAAAGGTTAAGTAGTTGGCGGAGGTGTTCACTCACAAAACAGTGGCTCAGAGCTGTCCTTTTAACTAGAGTTGAGCTGCCCTCTTGAAACTTGGAACTGCACTGGCTGGTTTTGTGCACTTGAACGGGTTCACAGCATTGCTAGGGTGCAAGAGCAGCACTTAATCTACAGCTCAACAAAACAGTTTTGCTCCACCTGGTGTGCTTTTTCCTCTTATGCACTTACTATGCGTTTTGTGAAACATCAAAAGCAGAAGTTGGAAGTTAAGGTGATCTAACATATCAGGTAGCTGCTGCAGATTAAGAGGCCGTCACACTACAAAAGTGCTAATAGTTTAGATCATTTGTAGCTGCTAAAACTGCTTAAAGACTTTAGGGATAAGCTTTTTTCCAAGTAACTTTGTATTTTGTAGCTGATCTTTGTGTTTCTGTGACTGCAATCTACTTTTATAAAATCAACGTTTTTGCTAGAGATTTTTTTTTCTCCTTTAAAAACACAGACAAGAGTGGGTCTGAAGTATTAACTCACCTAGGCATTTGTTCAGCTTGATTCCATTGGTAGCTGTACATGACTGAGAAGACTTGAATTAACAACAGCGCATGTGGCTGGGATTATCTTAAAAGGCGCTTGCTGTTAGCCGTTTCTACTGAAATGAATGGAGCTGCGTTAGGTCAGTGTTGATCTCTTTAGAAACTGTGAGCTTCTGTGACAATTTATGCTGTTTCGGAATGAAGCTGCCTCTATTTAAAAGCCACTTCACATAGATATATGTGAAAATGCGGGATCTTTAGTTGTCATAGAAGTATCTGGAGAGTAATCTTCTGCAAAAAATCATGTAACCACTGAATATATTCTAAGAAAAGTTCTATAACCAAGGAAGCTATATAAAATTACGTGATTGTAATTATGTGCTACCTTAACGCCTTTTGCTTCAGTCCTTATTTCCTTAATTATTTTCTTCTTGACTAACCTAAACTTAGTCCTAAAGTCATCTGGCTTAAAAAAATGAAAAGATCCCTTTTAAACCATTGTTCACTTAAGGCAGAAGAGTAATTCCCCCTACCTGTAATACCAATTTCTTTTTAGGTTTGGCGAGAGACAGTCTTGTTCACTAAATCAAGTCTGACGTAGGGAATGCTTCTCGGGGTGGCTGGTGATCTGTACTGCGTAACAGAGGAGGCACGAATTGGCCATGCCTTCCTCCCACCTACAAATGCTGGCTTCTGGAGCTGCCTTCTGTGTATATTGCAAATGTAAGCCCTTAAAATTATTGCTTGCCCTTTAAAATCACGTCTGTGGGATCTGCACCTGCTTGGATGGTTGTATCCCTATCCAATTCAGAATTTCTGCTGTTCCTGTACATCTGAAATACATTATCACTAGCCAGATGGGAAGAATTCAGAAGGCACTATTTTCCCCATAATAGACTATACATAAAACACGCTTAAAGGTTATGCAATTTCCTAACATAGTAATTATATATTGAGCTAAATAATAGAGAAGCAAAGAGGGGTTTTTTTTGATCTAATTGCCTGGCTGCTCTAGTTTCTCATGCAAACTGCAAGCATCTGAGGAAATTGGGTAACCAGCTGTGACAGCTAACAAAAGGCAGAAAATTTGCTCTAAGCTGGCATTTCATCCTCGACTTGTGTATCAGGACTGAATCCACACCCAAGTGCTGTGTGCTTGCCTTGACTTAGTGGTAGTGTGGGTCGCAGCCTTCACGTGAAAATGCTGGGGTCGTTCTGAGCAGCCACAGCAGTTTCTTTCATGATTCCTCTGCCACGCATCACCCTGTAGGCACTGCAAACAGCAGGAGCTGGAGGCTTCAGTTAACCTGCAAATAATCACCTTTGTGAGATGTTACCTGGAGCAGTCCTGCAAGGTATTGCACCTGATGGAGTTGAGACAAGATGTGTGGACCCTTGCAGGCCCTCTCGGGAGAAGGCAGTTCACAGACCTCTTGGGTCAGGCTGCTTGCACATTGTCTTTTAACCTTTCCATTCCCAGGCTCCAGCCTGGTAGCTACTGGTGTAATACACAGCAGAGCACTCCAGTTCTTTGCTTACCTGCCTGTCCACCATCTTTATTCACATATTTAATATTGGTGATGGGCTTGCTGCTTCTTAGAGGGGGATGCCTGCTGGACTCTGCCCCTGTTTGCAGGTTACCTGCCCCTTCCTGAGCTGTGGAAGTGCCCAGCTCTGGCTCTTCAGTCTGACACTGCCTTGCGCTCTTGCTGACAGCCCTGCTTCTGCTCTTTTGCACATAGCTATTTGTGTAACGAGCTGGACACTGAGGGCCCCCTTCCCCAAATTCTGGGGTCAATCAATGTGGACACTCTGCCGTTTACCAAAAAAAAAAAAAAAAAAGAAAGAAAAGGGAAAAGGAACTAACTTGCACAGTTTTCATAAGGGAATATGTACCTTCAATCTTTTGATTGTATTGATCTAACTCTTGAATGTGGCGACCAGTTTTAAGTGCACTATTGTCCATGTTGCATATGATATAACTTAAATTGCACTGTACAGTGTATTGGCGTCTAATGTATGCTTTGCTAAAGCCTTGGAAAGTGCTATCATATACAGGTTCCTGTATGAGGGGAAAATGTCTATACTAGCACTCCCTTTTTTTTGTAACTCTGTGGCATTGAAGAGCACTGTGTGATGTGTGCTATGTATCTGTTAACTAGTACAAATTTAAGTGATGAGTGCACTTCTGTCCAAACATCTGGACTTGCTAATTGGACTTGGCTGCTGCATCGGTCTTGATTTTTTAAAAATAGAATAAGTAACAGGGCTGGGAGTTGTGTGCTATTGTTATAGATGTATGCTATATGTGTACAGAATCCCAGCTGCTGTGGTGTTGAATATATTGCAAAAAAACCAAAAAAAATCTGAGAACTATCATGGCTCAAATTGCTTAGCCATTTGGGGGAGAAAAACAGATACAAAGTGGCTGTAAACTTTGCTGTAGATATGGTGAGAACATAGAAATGTCTGTTCAAATTAAAATGTTGAAGACTCTAAAAAGTTCTTAAATTACAGTGCTGAATCTTCTTTATTAGTACTGCCTTCACTTTCCGTTGGAAGGATGTGTGTGTGTGACTTGGATGTAAGCTCTTGCCTGAAACTTTGATTCTTTTCAGCTCATGCGTGTTTTCTTTTACAGCTGAACACGCGCTGTGATGGTAGAAGAAGGGTTTGTGCCGCAGGGCTGCATGGAAAGGAGAAGGTTGAGACCCTGAATCTGTGCATGGCTTGCAGAGCTCTGCTCCCATGGTTTTGGTCCTTTGACAGCAGCTCTGCACATAAGGGACCAACAATTCAGCTAAGATTTTATGCTTGTATTGAACTCTAAAGGAAGGAAGGGAGATGTTTTCAAAGGGAGAGTGGTTCGGACTGAAGCAAAACCTTGCAAGAAGTCCATCAGTAGACCTGGGGTCACAGTTACCTATTGTTTTTTAAGGGAGGTGGGGTACTTTGGTGTACTCGCCAGGGGAAGGAGCAAAAAAAGGACAAACAGCTCGTGGGGAAACAGGCTGTGATCCATGGAAACTCCTGGATCACTCCTGGCTGGTGGGTAAGTAGGCTGCGAACCACTGGGCTGTCTGTTTCCCTGCGGCATCATTCGTGGTCTCTGCAACTCCTCTGGAAGGTGAAGAATTTTTGTGGCTTTTGGCATTTCAGCAGATGGAGATTCTGGGTGGGTGTGCTGCCCTGCAGCTTGTGCAGTCCTGTGTGATGACACAGTGAAGGGTGCTGAAGGTTTTGATGTGAAAAGATGGATATTTCGTCCCTATTTGTGCAAAATGTTTGCAGAAGTCCCAGCTGAGACAGAGTGAATCTATTTTAAAATATTTTTAGCTATAGTCAGGCAGCCTGATTTGGTTTAAGCTTGCTTTTTGGAGGGGAGGGGAGAAAATAACAATCTGATTAGATGTTGAAATTTCTTTTTATATAACTTGCCTTCTTAGGTTTTCGTTTGAGCATGGGTAAGAAGGCATCATTAGCGCAACAGTTTGAAACCAAATACATGAAGGCTCTGGAATATTTAAAAGGATATAAAGCCATGTGTTGGATTCAAACTACAGTTGAGATGCCACTCATGAAAACACGAAGCTTTTAAAGAGCTTGTACTATGCAACAAGGCTGTTCAGGGCAGCTGTGATGGGTTTCTGTAGCCCACATTATCTGCATGTAAAACACAATGTTTTGATTCAATGCTTAGAAACACCTGATGGGAGGGTGTGGAGAAGATGGAGGCAGACTCTGCTTGGTGCCTGGTTTGTGACTCTTTCAAGTCTAGCCTGGCTTTCCAAGCCTCCCTTTCTTAAGACACTGGATCTGTCCCATCTCGCCCCTTTCTAACCTGTTCACCAACTTTGATGAGGCTTTGCAGGGTAGGGAACACGAAGGCGGTTAAATTCCTACAAGCATCATGAGAAGCAG